GGGACCGAAAGGTGGGCGTCATGCACAGGTGCTACACACACACAGAACATGGGCTCAGATCCTCTCAGATACAACAGTCTCTGGCTCCTATTTTAGTCTATTTTGTAAGGCAGCCTCCAAGACAGTAGCTCCCAAATTGGTATCAGTCTTTGAGGTTGATAGGTGAATTCTCATTCTAGCTGTGCATTACGAAAAATCTGGAACTTTAGACTTTAATGTTTTTCCAACCTTCTAAGTCACACATTTACACTGTTTACTCAGGGGGTTCATGGATCACAAATCAAGAAACTCCAGAGTTTAGGATCTGAAAAAAAACTAACAACTGGGACTGCTGTAAGCAGTATGTTCCAAGGGCACCTTCACAGAATATGAAATAGCTACATTCCTAACATGATTTTAAATGTGTTAATATTAAAGACTAAGTAATAATTAGGACAAATTATCAAATATTAGACTTCTAAAGCTGTGATTTAATATCCACATAACAGAAAACCTAAATTGCAGAAGCCTATTGGCAGGTGTGCTACAAAGTAAACCTTTATAACTAGACAGGTCTAACACTGATTTACTTTTACTACCTATGAAAAGGGATTATTTTGAGGGAACTATTAGTATGACCAATAAGATAATGAAATTCAGTATAAGTTTTGAAAGCCAAAAAAAAAACCTTCTAGCAGTACTTCATAGATGGAAATTTATTCCTTAGCTAAAAAAAGTTCAGCAGGGAGAGTAAATAGCAAATCTGGGTCCACTTTTTTACTGCTGTTCTCATGAACTCAACCAGGACTTCCCTCCTTCACTCTTTGTCAATACCATATGGCCATTCTCGAGTTTATTGCACAGAGTGCTTGGCGTGGTAGCTGACACACAGGAAGTACTTGGGTAACCGTCTCTGTGATGTTATCATCAGGAAAAGGTATCTACGAGCAAGATGCCCTACATACCTGGGTACCTAGCAGCTCTGCACAGGTCTACAGGTAGTACTGCTGCCCTGCTCAGTGACAGGTCACATTAGGCAAGTCAACTGACATCTGAGTGGAGTGACACACGTGTCCGTTTGCTGGGGCATTCCCAGTTTCAGCACTGAAAATCCAGAGAAACCCCTCAAGTTCGGAGCAAACCGGGACAGCTGGTCACCTCGGTTTCTCCCTCTGCGCGGCGCAGGGGTGCCCACGTGGTGGGATTAGTGCAGGGTTTACAGGGATAAGGCAGCACATACAAATAGAGCATGAAGCCAAGCCACCCAGGTACGCCCCAGCCCTGTCCCCCTCAGCCAGCTACCTGCCCTCCACGCTTAATTTCCTTGTGCACAAACCCGTTCCCCACCCCACCCCCAGCACCTGGCTTGGTTTTGCAGCACAGAAATGGTCTAGAGCCACTGAGACGGACGGGGAGGCCCCATCCATACTGCCTCACAGCTTGGTCCTCTGCAGTAGCCAGGCCTGGGACACAGAAGATGCGTCTCCGTTTCAGCTGCATTGTCACAGGCGCCACCCCCCGCCCCCGCATCAGTGTTGTTAGGTTAAGACGCCACTTTTTCCAGATGACTCCTGAAGTCTGGAGTTTGGTTAGAATTTTATGCCCACATAAACCAAACTATGGCTATGCTATTTGGGCCCTGCCACGATACTTGACATAACGAAAAATATAAAGTTATAGGGAAAACTTACGGATGCTGTCCCAAACCATGGAATATTCAGTTTGGAATCTCCTTAACGTCAAGAGGACAGATGGCACAAAGATCGTTCAGATCCAGCACACTGACCACAAAGGCTACACTGATTAAAAGATACAAATACTGTCTCAGTTCTCCGTATCCATGTCGCAGTATTTGTTTAAAACTGATCCTTCACTAAAAAAAAAAAAAAAAAAAAAAAGCCAGTTTGGTTAAATTGAATAGAACCTGCCAGTTCTGAATAGCTGCTCCATGAAAACAAGTTAATATGTGACCTTAGGAAGACGAAGGGGAGGAACATTCAGTGGCACCGCGCTCTCCAACCTGTTTTGATTACAAAAGCAGGGCCGGGCGTGGTGGCTCATGCCTGTAATCCTGGCACTCTGGGAGGCCGAGGTGGAAGGATTGCTTGAGCTCAGGACTTCGAGACCAGCCTGAGCAAAAGTGTGACCCCCATCTCTACTATAAATACAAAGAAATTAGCCAAACAACTAAAAATAGAAAAAATTAGCCAGCCATGGTGGTGCATGTCTGTAGTCTCAGCTACTAGGGAGGCTGAGGCAGGAGGATTGCTTGAGCCCAGGAGTTTGAGGTTGCTGTAAACTAGGCTGACACCACGGCACTCTAGCCCGGGCAACAGAGTGAGACTCTGTCTCGAAAAAATAAATAAATAAACAAAAGCAGGCCTTACATTAATTTCACACAACATGCACTATTTGCTGGATTTAATTCAATAATAGCATGTACTGCTCAGTCTTCCCAGATGTCATGTTTCCTGGGCTTCATTCCCTCAAACTCAGATCCTGTCATCCTCTTATAGACACTTTTAAGGTCATCATAGGTTGTCTCAAAAATTGTAGCATCACATGTGCAGGAAATAAAAATTGGATTTCTGTTCCCAAATCTTTTGGTACAAGACACCAATGCTAACAAATTTCTGTTCAACTGGTTCCAAGAGCTCCAAAGCTGGTGACTTCCTTCTCTGGTTCCTTGGTTTCCAGCTATACTGACTCCAGCAGGGGACTCCCGTGTGCAGCCAGCGTTGTGCAGAGATCACGCAAACACAGATGTCCTTCAACTGACTTGGTTCTGTAGAGTAACGATCTCTCGTGGGAGTCGATTCCTTGGTGTTCCTGATGGGGCACAACTCCCTTTGTAGGGTTTTACTTGTAGGACTAAATGTAAAAAATGCAGCACACGCTTGTGACAGTGTGGAGAACACAGGCATCACCAAGGACGACTATTATCAAACTGTTCTGCCCATTTCCTCGCAATCTAAGCAGTTGATAAATGCTTATTATTTACTAAAAAGACCTTAAAAACCAATGTAAAAACTAGGTTACAGTTTTGGTGCTGAGTTTTCTTAATTAGTGAGGGTTAAGGGTTGCTTTGTTCGGTGAACTCTAAGAAACAACTGCACAACAATCATCACGCTGCTTAAAAAGGGCAGTAGAATCCACAGAAGCTGAAACAGCTGCACTCCAGACTTCCAACATGCAGTATCTTAAAGTGGCTGCTGCCACACAGATAAGTTAAATTAATGTTTTTAAAAGTACACTTCTTTTAATCAACGTATAAAAAACCATCTCCTTCCTTCTGAATTTAATGACAGTTTAAAAAATCTTCACTAAACTATTAATAATCTGCACTTTTTTCAATTTCAAACAAATTATTTTTTTACATTTGCAAGAACTCCCACATGTGCTTTCTGAAGTGGTTTCAAGTGGAGCTTCCATCCAATTTTGACCTAGCACAACACTAAAAGGCCCAGCATCAAAAGGTGTGCCATGGCTGAAACACACCTGGAAATCGGAGCACCTTCATCAGGTGGCTTTCACGGGGTGATTCTGCCCATTGCCAGGGACACTTGGTAATGACGGTTTTGGTGGCCATAGCTGGGGCGGGGGCAGGGCAGTGTGGGGGCATTTGGTGGGTGGAGGGCAGGGACACGGCTCGTCACCCTACCGTGCATAAGACAGCCACCCACAGCAAGAAACCATCGGGCCCAAACGTCAGCAGTGCTGAGGCCAGGAAACCTCGTGGACGGGACTGAAGAACGGCAGGGATTAAGCCACAGCCAACGGCAGACTCTCCGTCCCCACTGGCACCACTGAGCGTGGCTCGGTAACAACAAACGTCACAGTGCTGACACCTGGTTATAACCTGCCCGGGCACTGTGGGGACCACCACTCCTGAAATACCACAAATCTCTGCCAAATCCATCTAGTGACCGTGCTAATTAATTAGCCCTTCCCGGTTATGCTTATTTTCTCACGATGACAAGTAATGTTCTTTAGAAAACAAATGTGGTATCTACTTCCACATTTAGATTATTCCTGAGAGACAGGCATAGTAATGTTTTAACTGTTAAAAGAATTAAACTGTTCTATTTGCAATGGTGTAACAAATTTTAATTCAAAATAGACACTCTGAAAACAATAGGTAAAAAAACATAATAAGTTCAACAAGCTCTTTTTGAATTTACAACAGAGTACACCAACAATCACAGACCAGTTTCACAATTGCCTCAAAAATGCACATTATAGCAATTACATGCAAGTATTGTATTTTTAAAAATTCATACAGTAACATTATTGTATTTCTCAGAGGCTGTCACCTCCTTCAGACATTCCTACCTAATGGTACGTTAGACAGGTTCCTCCGCGGTGTATCACCAGCACGTGACTTACGGCCCAAACGGGTCTCCCTTATTGGTTCTGGTGCTTTATTTCACAGCAGATGGAAGAAAAGGAGATTTAACATCCAAAGGACACAACGGAGATTCTTTAGCAACACACGTCCCATCCACCCAGACAGCTGGGCCACAGGAAAGCTGGTCTCCCCCGACACCTGGCCTCCAGGACCCGCTGCAGGGCCCGACCACACCAACCGCGGAGACTCAGACCCACGCACCCGTTCCACCCTGTCCCCTGAAAACCTGCGCTGAGACTTAAGTTCGTGTCCACACTCAGGTGCAGTGACTTTATTCCTGAGCATTACAGTCCTTCCCTTTCACTAGTTTATCAGCAGTTAGGTTAAGAGAAGAGTTTTTGGGTGTGTTCTCAATGTTTATTCTAAAGGCACTATAGATTCATTTTCTTACCTTTGAATGGAGAAATGACTTATCAGCGTATCAAAAAAGGGGGAAGTCTACACTGAAAGCTGATTTCTGCACCTACAGAATTACTTTATTTGTAAAAATAACTCTTGATTTATGAGCTACATGCCAGACCTCAGATCCAGTATATTTTTAACAAATAAAAACACTTAGTTTTCTGAGTTATGATTAAAAAAAAAAACAGCTATTAGGACAAACCTGAAAAAATGTAGATCAAAACTGCAATCGAATAAGTAAATAACTTTCAAAGAAGAAATCAGCAAGAGTTACTGTAGTGCGCCCTCAGGGAGCCACGCACACCACGGGACTAGCACCCGCATCTCTCACCATTCCCTGCATCGCGGCTGCTGCCCGCAAAGCTGAGGGAGATCGATGCTCTAGCTGCAGTTCATCAAGTATTCTGAAACAGGCTGAAATTTCCTTAAATGAAAAAAACATTTGTAGATTTCAGGTTTTTTATCATATGACAACTGACGCTGCTGGGAAAACAAGGCGTGCATGAAATATCAAAAGATTTGATTTGCATGACAGAGGGAAAAACTGAAAATAACTGTTACAATAAATCTGAAAGAACTATTCGCTTCCTTACATAGAAGCCTTTCTGAGCACCTGAAATATGTCTAAAGAGCAGCAATAAAGACCACTGGGATTAATTCAACGCAGTGAAAACAACATTTTTAAAAGTCTCAATTGAAAAACTATTACCTAGTACTTTAGCTTTACTAATTTTTTTTTTTTACAAGTTTTGTGGTTCATACTCAAAGTTCAATCTGTGTTTAACATTTTTAAGTTCAGACATGTCAAAGCCTAAAAGTACAGAAGGCTTGTGATTTTTTATTGCTTTCATGCAAATATACCTTCTTTTTCCAAAAAATGAAGCCACATCAATTTTCCAGACCCATAAGAGTGAAGATAAGAGTTCTATTTCCTTTTTACTAGGATATGGTCTCTTATGGAAATAATCTCTAAGAAATTGCTTTTTTTCTTCATAAGAACAGTCTTCATATTTTTTAGGGTCTAATGCTAAAATCTGAAGAGCATCTTCGCTAACGACTGGTCCCTCTGTCCTGGTTTCATTCCTTTGTCTTTTAAAAGGCACAACACTCGTCCCTTTTTCCGGACCTGGGGCCGCATCCACTTTCAGGACCAGAGGCGGCTCCTCCCCACCCCTCTGGTCTTCGGCCCCTACGTGGGCGTCAGGCAGCTTTCTCTTCACAGAGAAGGGGGCGTCATGGACCACCTCGCCATTGACCAAGAGCAGCTCACTGTTCTCGACGGCGTCAGGCTGGCCCTGCAGGTCTGAGCCGCTGTCCTTGGGGGCACTCCTACAGCGCAACAGGTGGACGGCAATGGCAGCCAGCGTCATGTTCCCAGTGTAGACCCCACAGCAGTGGATGCACTTGAACGCAGGGGACTTCAGAATCGTGTGTACCGTGGGCATGATGTGGTGCCTCTCCTTCAAGTGCAGCTCATATGCCTCCGGCGCCACGAAGGTGCCAAAGCAGAAGGGGCAGGTCAACACCTGCTTGCTGGGGCTGCCGGACGTGCCCTCGGCCAGAGGCCGCACCTTCACATACACAGGCACAAGGGACTTGGAGTGTATCCCGGCGAGTATGGCCAGGTAGACTTCCCGCTCCCCAAGCTCCTCCTTTGGCAATACGGTAATGAAGTCAAGGTGGGGGAACAGCAGGTTACCATTAGCATCGATATCCAATTGGAAACCCTTGTTACTGTAATCCACAGGTAACTTCTTCTTCCCCAGGTGCATGGTCCTGCTGTGCTCTGACAGACCTCGGATGTCATGGAACGTGCGGGGACAGAACAAGCAACCCAGGCCATGCATCAGTAAGTGATGTATGAGCTCCTCCTCGGAGACCAGGCATTTACAGGAGAGACAGCGAACCGTCTTCTCTCTCATCCACTTTAGAAATGGCGCACACGCTGCCAGTTTCTCAGGCTCAAGCTTGTCCCCAGCCCTGCACTCGCTGTGCTTGTGGGCCACCTCCATGTGGACCTGGTAGACGTTGGAGGGGAAGAGCTCATTGCAAACAGGGCAGGTTTTCCACTGCTTGGCCTGCTTGAGCACCTGGTTAGTGTCTGGCGTGGAGCAAGAGGCCTGAATGAACACGCTCTGGGAGGCATTCACCAGCACCGACGGCGAGGGAATGCCGGGCAGGGAGCCAGCCATCGGGGCTGCTGTGCCCGATGGCAGCAGCTGGATGGGCACCTGTGGTGGGGCCACCGTTGCCACGCCTCCGGGGGGCACCGGCAGAGTGACAGACACTGGGGCCAGCGTGTAGGTCGGAATCCCGTTCACTTGTTTCCCTGTGGGAATGAGCTGTCTGAGAATAGAGCCTGAGGTGAGGAAGGTGGTGTTCTGGGAAGTGCCGGGTCTAAACGGCTGGCTCACAGGCAGAATGTTGGCACTGACTGGCTGGCTGAGTTGTAGAACCCCAGGCCTTGCCGGCTGGCCCACTGGGAGAACTCCAGGCATGACAGGCTGACTGAGCTGGAGAACACCAGAATTCACACCCTGGCTCACAGGGACACCACCTGAGGAGACCGTCTGGTTGGAAGAAAGTAGCCCAGATGGGACCACCTGGCCTGCAGGGAGAACCCGTGACGGGGCCGTCTGGCCAACAGGGAGCACCCCTGACTGGACCATCTGACCAGGAGGAAGAACCCCAGACGTTGCCGTCTGTCCAGGGATAACCCCAGCAGGGGTCATCTGGCCTGTAGGAAGGACCCCTGCTGGGACAGCCCGGCTCACAGAAATCACCCCTGGTGAGACAGCCTGAAGAACCCCCGGGGTGACAGAGGGACTAACAGGAAGGACGCCAGGCCTTATGGGCCCCACAGGCTGGGTGAGGGGTAAAACCCCAGGGCGGACAGTTGGACTTAAGGGGAGGACACCAGTTCCAACAGATTTATTTATGGGTCCAACTGGCTGACTCAAGGGCAATACGGGAGGGTTTACAGACTGATGAAGCGGAACCCCGTGAGAAAGAAAGACGGGCTGAGGTGCTGAGGACTGCAGGGTGAGGCTGTTCTGGCCCACGGGCAGAGGGCTGGAGACCAGAGTCACGTGGGACTGGGCAGCAGCTGGTGGGGAATGGGTGAGGCTCCCGGGAGTGCCCGGGGCCACAGTCACCGGCTGCACCGTGGCTGGGCTCGGACTGCTCTGTGGCAAGGCCAGATGGAAGCGTGGAGGCGGGGCCGGGACACTCGGAGCACTGCTGCTCGTTGGTACAACCAAACGTGCTGCTGGCTTGGGGGCAATATGCATTTGCTTCAAGAGTCCAGTCCTCTTAATATGTTCTGAAATCACAGATCTAAGCTTATTTTCCAAATCCCTGTGTATATCCGATGTCAAAATGTGATACATTAATGCATCCTGGCTGCTGGCATTGGCACTGCACTTTTTACAATAATACTTGTCAGATGGTGGGATCTTCTCCATGGGAGTCTCGTTAGTTTTCAGCTGCTCACCCTCCTCAGTTCGCAGACCAAAGTACGAGTTAATTAAGTAGTGAAAATGGGCTACCAGCACATGCTTCTTCATGCTGTAGTACAGAGTGTTTGAAAAGTTGCATTTTAAACAGGTAAAGCTTATCACATCACTCCTCGATGTTTTAGCTTCGCCCAAAATATTCACTGTGTAGTTCTGGACTTTCCGAACAGGAGCATGGAACATTCTGAAGTGCCTCCCCACGACTTTGGGTTGAGAGGCAAACACACAGTTTGGGCAAGGGATCACCAGCTCTTGGTCAATCTCATCTTCGTGGTAACGATGTAAATGATTTTTGAATGAAGTAAGCACTTTTGTCGAGTATTTACAGAGGCCACAACAGTATGGCTTTGTTCGATATCTCTGTTAAAAGAAAAGAAAGTTTCAGGCATAGTTTAATACAAACTGTACAGAAGATGCTTTGCCTTCCCTAGTCCAGGAATCCATGATTCTCCTTGAGGAGGGACATTCACACTGTCCCTCCTCAAGGAACAGTTTTTTCTAACCCAGGGTTGGCAAGCTTTTTCTATAAAGAGCCAGAGACTAAATATTTTAGGGTTGTGGTACATACAACACAGTCTCTGTGGCAACTACTCAGCGTCACCACTGTAGTGCAAAAGTACCCACAAATAATATGTAATTTATGGGCACAGCTATGTTCCAATAAATATTTATGAATACCAATTCAAATCTCATATACTTTTCACATGTACTCTTTTTGTCTTTTCTTCTTAAATATTTAAAAACCCAACAATCATTCTTAGCCCATTGGTTGCACAAATGGTCAATCATCACAAACCTGCAAGTTTTATTGGATGTTGGAGCAGACTGCACTTCCCGGTTATAGGATTTGCCCACAATTTGTAGTTTGCTGGCCCCTGCTCTAAGCCACCCACTGACACCACCAATCTCATCACTTAGTCCTATACTTCAACTGCATTAATTAAAAATAAACTTGGTTAACTTTTCTGCAAGAGAAAATTATTTTCTCCCCCTATCCCATTTTTCTTAATTCCAGTGTTGTTTCTACTCCAAATTCTAAAACCTCTGGAATTTATTACCTACAACTAACTCAGCTTTCAGATTGTTGAACTATTATTATTATCCTTTTATTCTCCCCACTCCTAGAGAAGGCAGGAGTCAAATGGACAGTGCTTCGCACACGCAGGCACACAATAAACTAATCTAAAGAGCAAGTGTGAGACCCATGCTGCGAAGAATCCTGAGGCCACAGAACACAATACTGACCATGTGGATTTTCTACTTAAGGCACATCAGGGGGAATTCAACAACCTCGGGGTCTAAACACAAACATTTACATAACTGCTGGCCAAGCGAGGACATCCAATGAAACATGCAGGTTTGTGACGACCTGAGAGCACACTTAAGTCTTGGGTCTCACGGTGACTCCTGAGATCCTAGAGCTTGGGAACCATAAAGCACCCACCCCTAGTCCCACAGGCCAGGAAGCGGAGACCTGGACAGATCGAACATCTCGTCCAAGGCCCCGGAGTTGGCAGTGGCACTGTCATAGTGACCAAGGGTTAATGACTACCCTTTCCTAATCTGTGTTCTCACGCTCACTCTCTCTCACACAAACACAATTTATTTCTATTCTTCAAGACTCTGTCATCTTATCTCTCTTCTATTCATGTAGTTTTTCCTCTTGGGTCACAGGTCAGAAATTATCTAAACACATTCAACATTGTGTTGCTATCTTCTCAGCAGTTAGAAAAATCCCAGGTTCTAATATTTCTGGTAGGATCTATAATAAACCTAGGGCAACAGCCACTACCTCAGACCAGACACTAAAATAAAAACCTATTTCGCTAATTCTAAGAGACACATTTTTTCATATTTTAACTCTCTGAAATCTGGATGTCCCTCACAACCAATGGTTCATATTGCAACACAATTTAAGTGAAATATCGTTTTAGTTTTATTAGTGGTTCATTACAATGGTGTTTTATACTAACTGAAAAACAGTATTGAGAAACTGTGTACTTAAATAAAATTATACCCAATGAAAGAACTGACAGAACTTACTAACAAATGCCTGCTAATATCAGTTAGTGTTGAATAAATCTTTGGGTTAGGCAAATATTCCTTTAATATGACACCATAAACATGATCTATAAAAGAAAAAAATGATAAATTGAAATTCATGAGAATAAAAAAGCTTCTGCTCTTTTAAAGACACTGTTTAAAAAACGAAAAGACAAGTCACAGGCTAAGAGACAATATTTGCAAACCACCTATCTAATACACGATTCTCATCTGGAATACATGTTGTGGACATATTCAATCTCGGTAAGGAAACAAATGACCCAATTTTTTTTAAATGCTCAAAAGATTTGAACACTTTTACCAAAGAAGATATCTGAATGTAAAATGAACACATGAAAACATCTAAACATCATCGGTCACTAGTGAAATGCAAATTAATACCAAAGGAGACACCATTACACGTTTGTTAAAATAGGAAATCGGTAGGTAAACCAATAAATACAAAAACCCAGACAGCATCAACCCGGCAAGGATGCAGAACAGCTCACACACCCGCACTGCCAAGGGGAAAGCCAACCAGTACAAACGATTTGCAAAACAGTGTGGCAGTTTCTCATAAAGACAAATATGTATTTACGTACCATAAAGCCCACCAATCCCATTCCAAGTCATTTACCCAAGAGAAATGAAAGCACATATTCACACAAAAACCCGCAAAAGTTCCAGGCCAGTGACCAACCATAAAAACTGGAGTACGAACATCAGCTTACTGGTAACAGAGGAAGAACATACAATGACAGAAGGGAAGTCGCAGCACTGTGTGCTGCCGGAAGGACCAAACCCAGACCAGGCATTATCTTCCCATCACATCTTTTTTTTTTTTTGAGACAGAGTCTCACTGTGTTGCCCAGGCTAGAGTGCCGTAGCGTCATCTTTGCTCACCTCAAACTCAAACTCCAAACTCCTGGGCTCAAGCAATCCTCCTGCCTTAGCCTCCCAAGTAGCTGGGACTACAGGCATGCGCCACCATGCCCGGCTAATTTTTTCTATGTATTTTTAGTTGTCCAATTAATTTCTTTCTACTTTTAGTAGAGACGGGGTCT